ATCTGAGGAGCAAACTGCTTTGAATTTAACTCCATCACAGAACTCTCATCTTGAGCAAGCATGAAGGCGACAGTGGAAAGGAAAAACTCCCTCATGAGGAAGAAACCTTCAGCAGAACCAGGCTCAGGACAAGTGATCATCTGCTTCGACCGGCTGGGTTTGAGAGGACAAGAAGGAGGAACAGATACACAATGGCAGCTCAAGAATCACATTTTCAGATAGAAATGGTATCAAATGAAAACTATTCAATTTTAACAATTCATTTAAAGACATGAGGTCAATTTGTCCTCCAGTAGTCTAAGTCTATAGCAGCATAACAAGCCAACACTAACTATAGGATTTATCAAAAATTAAAGTCTTAAGCCCAGTCTTAATACTGGACAATGTGTCAGCCTCATGGACAGAAACTGGAAGTTGGTTCCACAAGAGAGGAGCCTGATAACTGAAAGATCTTTCTCCCATTCTGCTTTTGGAAACTCTAGGAACTGTGAGTAAACCTGCAGTCTGAGAGCGAAGTGCTCTGTTGGGAAAATATGCAACAATAAGATCTCAACTATAAGATGGAGCTAGGTCGTTGACAGCTTTGTTGCTTAGAAGTAAGATTTTGAATTAAATTCTGGATTTGACAGGGAGCCACTGGAGAGAAGCTAAAACTGGAGAGATATGACCTCTCCTACTAACTCCAGTTAAGACTCTGGCAGCAGCATATCAGACACACATCAGATCTACTGAGTTTGATGCAACAATAGACCTTTACCAGAAAGGGAAAATGACGAGCCGGGTGAAGATGAAAACTGCAGCAAACGTAAAGAAGATGAAGTTGCAGGTTCTTCTCCAGCGTGCATAGTTGAACATTTTGGCTAACTAGAATTAAAAGCAAAAAAGAAAAGATTACAGTCTTAATTTTTGTTCTCAATGCTCTCATTAAGCTGCTTATCAAAACTAAAGACCAGAGGGAGATGCTACAATGCAAACTGAGAAGAAAATGACTAATCAGAGAACTACTATCATCCTACACAGACAAACTTATCAGTCAAACACCCTGCAAGTATTTACTGCAGGAAAAAACTTTTTAAAACAGTTGTACCTCCATCAGATAGTCCGAGGCGTCGTGCACTAGCATGATCAAAGTCCCGGTCCGGGTGTAGTTGACCATCCAGGAGAAACTGATGAGGAGGATGGTGGCCACGTGGTGAACTATTTGCTCCTTGAAATCCTTCGCAGGTGGAAAAAAAAAAAAAAGGTAAAAATCCACATTTACTCGTGCTTGGACACTTATTGATCAAGCAGCAAAGATCAGTCACTAATCAACTATTGTTGATTAGTGACTGATCTTTCAGTCACTAATCAACTGATCTTTGCTGCTTTAATAAATAATTTACTCTTTTGATCAAAGCAGGTTACATAGTTTCAAGGCTGCAATAATTAAATCTAATTAATGAATGCAGCGTTTTAAACGAGGATCATTTTATGGTGAGAATTGACAGTTATAGTTCATGTGGGCAAACATCTAACACAGGGCTATTCAACTGGTGGCCCGGGGGCCAAATCAGGCCCATGGATGAACTCAGTTTGGTCCACCACTGAGTACATTTTTAAATAAAACTAGATTTTAAACCGTAAAACAAACTTACTAAATGACAATAACTGCTGGATGTCCAGTCCCTGAGCCCTTGGATTTCAGTAATTGTGCCCCCCTGAGCAATTTAGTTGAATAGCCCTGAACACCTGATCTATTAGTGGTTAAAGTGTTGTACTTCCACACCAATTTTAAGCTCAAAATCTGTCAAATTAAAAGCTATAGCCACTGTTTGTGTTTGCCAAGACTGATTAGCTGCGGTGGTCATCTTGAATCAAGTTGACTCCCAAAGGTCCAATGGTTACTTCCTGAGTGTTTCATTAAAACTCGTCCAGTGCTTCATGAGATGTTTTGCTCTGGTTCTTCAGATTAGCAGCTTGCGTTTGCTAACTTAAGTTAGAAAATGAGCTCCGGTACAGAAGCTACACAATTACTAAAACACAACAAAAACATCTTTGAAGACTGAACATGGTCTTCGTTCTGACGCAGACTGCTCCGATCAATACGTGGTGTCAATCTTTAACAGGGAAATCGATACGCAAACCTCCAACTACACCAGTGCAAGAAAACAAATCCCTTTTAGGCAAATCATTTTTATTGAAAAGTTTGATTCTTTTATATGATTAAAAAAAAAAAAAAAGTAAGGTTTAGAGAAACCGTGGTGTCACTCACCTTCCGTTTGACGTCTGATGCTACACTACAAACAAGTGACAAATAGAAGCCCAACTCGATCATGTAGTACCAGTACTGTGAAGGTAACAGGGGCTGAAAAATGAGAAAAGAAAGAAAACACCCACCGTTTAATTCAGAACTTTAGTGGAAACATTATGTTGGACACAAATGACATCTAATAAGTAATTTGTTACCATTTTTGGGAAGTCTTGCCACATTTGCTTCATATCATAAAACCAGGGTTTCTAAGAGGAAACACATTGTTTTAACAGTCATAGCAACACAACAGTAGTGCAAATCAGCAATAAAAACATGAAAAACTGCCTTTACATGAAAAGAAACAGAATACAAATGTTAAACTATATTTACATCTTCTGTGCTTTTGCTCAGCACATGCACAAACAAAATGTAGTTCACATAAACAGGTTAGGTTTTAATTTTTTTTTTTTTTTTATTCATGCACCTGTTTAAATTCATTATGAGTTCTCTCAAATCAGAACAGGTTTGAAACGTGAATACTTTGACCCATATTTGGCTGAAAGAGATTTTAGCTAGCCTTCACCAAATATCTGGCAGGATGTTTAACTGTGTTTTTATTTTTTTACGGATTAGACGAGATTATTGTAATCTTTTCCTGGAGCAGCTTAGATTTAAACCATGTCCAAGCATTTCCAGAAGGATCACTACGAAAATCTACCGTTAGGCCTCAATTTTTATGACTTTTTGTCGCTGGCGTCTGTTAAAAACTGTTTCGATCTGCAGTTGATGGTTTTAAAAGATGATTTATTTATTTTTTTGGTAGTCTACCGTCTTTACAAAGTCTAAATCTGAATCAAAATCAAGATTTATTGGCCTAATGTGTAAATAATACTCTGAATTTATCTCCAGCTGGTATTGCCTAAGTAGGAACACTGCAAAATAGTTTTTAAAAGGCAGCGAAATAAAGCTACAGGGCATGATGCTACCACCACTATGCTTTACAGCAGGTGAAGTAGTTTGAGATTTTATTGTCTCACTTTTGCTCTACAGACAAAACTCTGATCGTGGAGGCCAAAACGCTCCATATTTGTCTCGTCTCATTACAAACCGTCTCCCAGCAGGCCGCTTTCAGCCCGTAAAGTCAGCTGTAAATTGAAATCGACCGTCAGCGGGTTAAAACTTGCAGCGGAGATAAAAATAAGATGCTCGCTCAGACATGTTTTGAGCCCTCTGGACTTTCACTTGAACAGTTTTGTGTGCCAAGCCCTCGAGAACTGTCAGTCATGTTTTTATAAAGAAATAAAACAGCTTCAGTACATCCCAGTCGCTTATAAAAAGTTGCGAGGTCTCGACAAATCAAAGCAAATGTTGCTCTGAGTGTGACTTCTGACCACAAAACAAACGCGCGGGAAGCAATTATTTTGGGTTTTCTCTAAATTAAGGTCCAATTAAATCCCCATTTTTGATTTTTACACAATATTTTTATAGTAAACATCTTCTGATCTGCAGTACTCACATCAATAAGGACTGCCAGGCCAGCAAAGAAAGCAAAAAAGTAAAATATAAACCTCCAACTGTAAGAGAACACAAACCCATCATAGAAAGAAAAAACATTGTAGTAAACTTCGATTTGATAAAACATAAAATTGGGAACTTGTTCTGGTTAAATAAACAATGTTTACATAATTGTACAAAGCTTTTAGGTTTCAGGAAAAACAAGCAAAAAAAAAAATTCAACCATCTTGATGGTTCTAAACTTTAAACTAGCCAATTTGTGCCTTTAAGGATTACAACTACTGCATTTAAACCTGTTAGGTCTTAAAAAAAGTCATTATAAACCCCTCCCTTCAGAGCTGGGGGGACTGGGTTTAGGCCTTTTGTGTGTTTTATGTTTGGCGCCAAATGTCACTTTGCAACAGCTTCTTCTGAGAAACTTTTACTCAAGTTTTCTGGGTGTGGTTGGCCTGAAAATGGGGGTCAAGATTTATAAATCATTACGAGTGACCTGCAAAACAATTTAACACAAAACAATTCAACTAGGATGTGTCGCAGCTCGTACAAGAGCAGGCTCAATGCCTCAATCTTCTCTTATTGTTTATCAAATATGATTTAATCAGTTTTAATCAGCACACAGCTGTGAAATCTTGTGAACGCATTAATGCACAAGCCTGGCAAAGAATGTTTAATTTCTGCACATGCATTATGACCTCCAGAAAATCCTGTCTGAGCTTAAACTACGTCAAAAGAGTTCAAGATGATACCAGAAATTATTAAAAAATAAAAAAAATATGAAAAATGCATAGGCTCAGTATTCTTTGAAGGATGCACATAGCACAAGTTTTAAATCAAGATGGCCGCCACAGCCACATCAGATGTGTTTATAATCAGATTCTCTGTTGAGGATGACTCTCAGCTACCACCACACCAAATTTTAGCTCAAGGTCAGTAAAACCGGCAGAGGTATAGCCGTGTTTGTGATTGCTAAGGTCACTTAGTTTAGGCGGACATCTTGAATGGGATTGAACCCAAAAGTTAATCAGATGCAGATGTGCATCCAGCGATTAATTCCGCCGAGTTTCATTAAAATCTGTCCTGCAGTTTACAAGATATTTTGCCAAAATGACAGACAAACAAACATGCGCACACATACGAGCACAGCCATCATCGTTCCAGCGTTGGGCGAAACTGAACTGGGTGATTGGCTAAGGATCAAACCTACCTTGCTTCCTGGAACTTTTTGAGCTTGCTGGGCCGGTCCTGGTTCCTCCTGCATCTGAACCACCTCTGGACCTGACGCACTGAACAACCCGTCCGTCTACTTAAATTCTCTATGGCGCTCTAACAACAAAAGGGCGAGACAATGAAAGGCGAGACAATAAAGAAAGTCAGCGTCTTGAAATTAGTCTTGTCTACTGCATTCTGCAGATTCAGGAGGAAAGGCACAAAAAAAAATCTATATTTTTATCAATCTGACCTCAAACATGAAGACTTACACTTAAAAAATGTCAAAAGATGTTTGTGTTTGCAGTGTGTACCTGTTCAGGATGCTTTGATTTGGTGCTGAAATGTTTCTCCAGGGTGGGATTTAAAGGAGCCTGAACGAGTTGTTTGTCTTTCACTCCCAGCACTGAGGCCAAAGGAAGCCCGACTGTCCTAGAACGTGGACAAACCCTTTAGATTTACTAGAATAAGACATGTAAACATAGACTGAAAGTTAAGATGATACACACCACTGCTTAAAAAAAACAAGACTCACTGCTCAAATATTTGTCTAACACCTAGGAAGCAGAGAGCGACGGGTACGGTGGCCCAGAGGTCCCACGTTTTGGGGAAGACGTTGCCATCAGCATTGTTTAAGTCAGCCCAGCCAAAACCTTCAGGGAACCAAATCCAGTCAGCCCATATCAGCTCACGCAACCTAGATAACATCCTACAGACAAAAACAGGAAAAGAATTAGTTTTCCTGCTCAGATTTCCACATGGATCCATCAAGAACTCCCAACTGAGCCGTGACGATAGAGCAAGAAGGACAGAGCCAAGAAACACCGGCTGCGGGTTTCTAACCTAAAGGATACTGTATCAGTGTCGAGAAAAGGGACTGATCCAACGCAGCAAACAAAGAAATCAAAACCCTTAAAGAATTTAATCAGGACTCCGTGATAAGCTCCGATGTTTCAGCCATGTCTCGTTCTTCAAAAAGCATTAAACGTCTCTGCAGCTGGATTCATATTTACTCAAGAAGGTGCGCAGCAAAATAAATACAATCTGCCTGCGAAGGATGATTGTGTTTATTTTAATGTTTCAGCCCATGTCTGAGTGTGTTTGTCTGGCTGTTACCAATCAATCTCACAGGCTAATCACTGGATGTATATCTCGTTAGTGATTTGCAGCAGGCGTCTCTTTAGGAGCATTTAACGTTCAGAGGTTATCTGTAGCTTGATTAGCTTAACGGAGTAAAATCCTTGAACGGCTCCGTCGCCGTTTTTGTCGTGAGCTGGTACGCTCGAGAGCTCGTTTGGTTCATACTTCATGCTTCAGTAGAGCCATTCAATTTTGAATGACAGCGACATCATCACACACGCTGTACGTCAGGGGTCGTAAAATGTGTGGCAGGTGCTAAATAATTTATTTTAAAATTTAAAAAATCCATGCCGATCGTGCGGCTCATCCAATCAATCAGCCAATTGTGTGTCATGTCCAATCTTATTTTGAAAAACCGCGATAGAGCAAGTCTGTGATGAATCGTGAAGTAGAGAGGGACTACTGTGTAGCAAAACGAGTAAACAGCAAACGTCTCCGGAGAGAGCATGTTGGGAAAAAGGAAAACGCCTACAGCTGAGGCAGCAGAAGTCTCCACAACTACCACCAAACAAAAAGCTGCATTTAAACTAAATTATGGGTTAAATTATGGCTTAATCTCAACAGGTGAGCCACGCATTGTGTGAGATGTGACGACCAGCTCTGCTTCAACACATGGAGACTAAACACTTCAAAGAAGAGCTTTTGGAGTTTTATGTAAGCGGGGAAAAATAAAATATAAATACGAGGATCAGAAACAATTACTAAAGGACGCCACTTCATTAAACGCGTGTGCGTATTCAGTGGCTAACTGCATAGGTAAGGCATCGTAGAATATTAAATCAGGTCTCTCTTGTAAATGAGTCCTGGAGGCTCAATGGGATTTACCTGTCTAAATAAAGGTTGAATGTATTAATTTGACCACCTAATAATAATATAAATGATATTACAGGGCAGCATGGTTACACAGTTGGTAAAGCCGCTGCCTCTCAGCGAGAAGGATGCTGGGAGTGGGTGGGGGACCATTATGGGTGGAGTTTGCATGTTCACACCGTGCATGAGTGGGTTTTCCTCTGGTACTCCAGTTTCCTCCCACAGAACAAAAACATACATGTTAGGCTGATTGGTTACTATGGTTACTAAACTGTCCTTAGGTGTGAGCGAGAGTGTGAATGGTTGTTTGTCTCGTTTGTCTCCGTGTCCTTGAGAAGCCTGTCATGATAACTAAATTTTGTTGGGTGATTAATTGTCTCAGAAATTATTGCAATAAACGATAATATTGTTTGAAATTTGACAATAATTAGTAATTACTGTCAAATTTAAGAATAAATTTTTTATTTGTTTTGCATGTAGTACCTTTTTTCGACCACTGGATGGCAGTATAAGACAGTTTGAACTGAAGGATGGATAGTGAGGGAGCGAGTAGTGTGTCTCTAAGAAAAATGGGAGGGAGGCCCCTTGACATGACATGGGCTGTCTCTCTTCAGTTCTCAAAATGGTGGACGCTCAGTGTGGTTTGAGCTCTTTAGCGTCGCATTTTTCACACAAAAACTTTAAATAAAAAAATAAAAAAAACAGTAAACGAATTCTCAGCTTCTTTTTTAGAGAAAAACTACTTTTTACACAAAGGCACAGGTTTCAACCGTGAATTTTGGAGCTTCGACAAGACGGAGGTTTTTTCCACGAGGTCGGCCTGTTAGCTTAGCTCGTAGCTTAGCTTCTCAGCTTAGCTGCTTTTAACGATCCAAAAACGCGATTTTGGATCGTTAAAACAGATTTTAAAGAGAAAGGGAGGGGTCAGTGAAGAGCACCGGAGTTGAGCCTTTTGTCATCCAGTGTCTTCAGTAGAAAGAGAGACACGAAGAAACGATAAAGCTGATAAATGAAAATGAGGTTAATAATTTAAATTTATCATTCAATTAACTGGTTTACTGCGACAGGCCTAGTCCTCGATGGACTGGAGACCTGTCCAGGGTGTCCCCCGCCTCTCGCACAGTGATAGCTGCATATGGGCACCAGTGACCCCCGCGACCCGAAAAAGAAGCAGCAGGTAAAGATAATGGATGAACATTACAAAATACGATTGTGTTTATGCATGTGAGCTTTTCTCACACACCGTCGCCGGTCCGTGAGAAAACTGTCTTGCATAAAACCGGTCGGCGGTGCCAAAAAGGTTTCGGTTTCGTTAAGTGTTTGTGAACACTGTGTGCAGCGAGTTCAGGGATGAAAGCAGCAGTGACATTTTTCTGTCGTTAAGAGTTAATACTGAGGATTATGAAGGTTCAGAAACGCAACAACCGGATATCAGAAATGTTGTTATCCGTGTCTGCCATTCATCCATTCACTGCAACTTCCTCCCAGAGCTGACAGGTGTGAGGAGCTGACGCTTCCACCGAGATACAAAAAAACAGCTCACAGCAAGGCGTACTTAAACAACGGAAGTAATAGTTTGCACAAAGACTGTCTGGGCGTCACAAATTGTCAGTGTGGATGGAAGTCTGCCAGCAGCACGGAGAAGGACCAGAATAAACAGCTTCTATTACACATTTAACCTTTATTCTTTGTTTTATACGATGATCCATCAAACCATCTAAGCTTTTAGTTTTTGCACAATGTCCTCACGAATGAAAAACTAGATGAAATCTTCAGTTTAAATTTCAGATCTCCACCCAAAGTTGTGCCTCGGTATTTGTAAAATTATAGTAGTTTTACTGTTTGTTTTGACAGATTAACCGGACGGCCAGCTTGAATGAAGTGGACTCCAAACGTTAAAGCTGTTGGAGAGAAACATACAACGACTATTCTCCGAGAATTTTATTAAAACTCGTCCAGTGGTTCTTGAGATTTTCTGGTAAGAGACGCACACACGGGCAGATAACGTTATCAGTCGTGATAATGAGGGCAGTAAAAAGATTAGAGAAGTTGGAAACGCTGCGTTAAAGATTGTAGCATCAATCCAGACAGCCGAACGTTTCTGATAATCCACCTCATAGCCAAAATAATCCAAAACATCAATTTTGATTACCTTGGATGCGATAAAACCCGCTGTTTTTAAAATTTACAGATAATCTGTGACAGAGCGCGTTAATCCACTGTGACACATTAAAGACAGACAAATTGGACTGTTCCGGTCAGAATTAGAATCTCCTCTAAGCGACAATTGATCCTTCTTACCCCAAAATTTATCCTAATGCACCATTTAAAAATAAAATATAGAAGTTAGAGTAACTGAAAAAATTAAACTTACAAAAGATCTGATCTTATTAAATATTGTTTCCGGAGAACTAGAATTTCTTACCGGCTATTAAGATGTTTTATAATATTCTTTGAACATGAACCACTTTGTCATTCTATATCATTCAGTATATTTGTGTGGGTGAAGTAAATTCAAAATAAATGTTAAAGAAGTGACAGGAATAAAACACAATCTGTAACAAATGAGCACAATATATAAAAAGAAAACCAATTTACAGTCAACAGTTCTTGTAAAATCACTATGATGCTACAAAAAAATAGTTTTTACGTGCTCGTCACAGAGTTATTTTTTGGCATTTTTATAAATGAAAATAAAGAACTGGGGTAAAAAAAATAACTTTGCAATGCAAAAACCTTTACATTATAACTTTAAATACGCATTAAAATATTAGAAGCAAATCATAATAACATGGAGAAATTCAAACCTTAAACTATAAAATGTGCAAATGAATATGGTTGACCCTTTCTTCCCTCTTGAATTAACGAACAGGATGAGATTAGATGAAAATAAAAAGTTGTGCAGATTAAAATTTGGCTCAGGGAGCGGCAGAGTGCGCATGCGCGGAGCAAAATCGGGTGTCGCCGAACTAACTATATTTATTTATTTGTTTATTTTGGTGAAAGAGTTGTGTACCAGTGAAACAAAGTAAGGTTGAGTTGTTCAAAAAGAGACTGCACACCTAACCAGCGTCTCTCAGAGTACGAGGAGAGACATTTGACTGGCGACACTTGTTTTTCCCATCAAACGTAGCTTAATTAGCTACATGCTCTGCACCACGGAGGCGCTAAAAAGTATAAACTTTTTTACACTTTTACGTTCTTTAACAGGCAGGTGCGTTTCTAAACAAACTCCCACACAAAGACACGATGAGAACGACTCCTTCAAAAGTAAACAGTAAAAGTTTCGTGTAACTATAGTCGTCCGGGGAGCCCTTACCTGTCGCCTCGTCTCGTTGCAGCTGGGAGTAAAGATGTCGTCTTTCAGACCTGCTCACCAACTCTCCGATAAAAAAAAAAAGGCGAAACGTCGTCCCGCTGTCTCTGATTCAAACGTGAGCAAATTAAGTTCGGTTCCTGTAAGTTCGGCTGCGGGTACACCGGAACCTCCCAGTGAGTGTTTCTAATGCAAGCTACAAGGATAGCAAGAGGGCAGGTCAGTGACGTCTGTCTATGAGGGGCGATTAATGCCGCGCAGGTGGGATTTTTTTTTATCTTTCATAGGATAAATCTGGTGAATCCGGTTCACTTTATTGACCCCGGTGGTTAACCGGAATCACAGTACAGCGGTTTTCATGTTGACTCTGTTCATAGCAGGCGGTCTGTGCATGTGTATGACGGTTTGCATAATTTGTGCAGCTGTATTGGTTCTCAAACTAGGGGCCCCGGACCCCCAGGGGTCCGCGAGCCGGTGCTTGGTGGTCCAAAAAAAAA